ATGTAACATTCCACCTGATGCATAGATCTTTCCCTGAAAGACGCAGGCAGCCAGCTTGTTTCGGGGCCAGGGCAGGTCTATCCTGGAGTGCATCGTCTCAAGCAGCATATCGTAGCAGTCCACGCGCTTTTCAAGACCCTGGCAGGTGGAGCCTCCCAATATGTAGACCTCGTAATTCCAGTACACGGCTGTGGCATTCCAGCGTTTCTCTAAGGAGCAGGGGATGGCTGTCCACTTGGAATCCTATTTGGGATTTTTTTTTTTTTTTTAAATCACACCGATGAGCAAAAAAATAAAAAAGACTGGAAAGTCATAGGCAAAATGTTTGGGTGCCAGAAAATCCAAATAGGAAAAAGCTACTTTCCAAAATATACCTGAGGGTTGAAGTAGCGGCAGGGGTCAGTCTGCAAGTGTCCAAACAGAGCAATTTTTGGGGGGTTTCTTAGCTGAGCCCTCAAATTCACCGCCACGTTCCTGGGGTCCCTCCGGGAGTAAATGGCATCTTGGAGAAAAATCACTGGCCACTGAGAAGTAGCTCCATTCTACCAGGGATTTCCAATTGCTGCTGCTGCTAGTTTGTAGGGTGACCTTGATAACTTCAGGAATTCCAACACACAGCTGAAAGTCACAGCAACGTCATCGAACCGCTTACACACACATAGCCCCTCTACTTACCAGTGACCATGCTGAGGCACTGTGGACTGTCTGCAATCAAGGGCTCAGGCTGCACAGTTTGGGACAGGAAGTCTTTGGAGAGCAGAGGAAAGTGAACGCAGCTCAACACCTCCACCAAGTGCTGTTGTCTGTTGGGCAGGTCGTGGTTCAACCAGCGCAAGGCCGCCTCATAGATCTGAAAATCACACGATCAAAACGGAAGGATCTCTCACTACAGCAGTTTTTAGTTGGCATCTGGTGTTTTTAGCTATACCAGAGATATCTGGTGCATGTCTCTGGATATATATATATATCTCCTTTTAACTTCATTCTGAGGGGTAACATTGTCATCCATTGCTTAATTACACAAGTCTGCTTTCCTGATCTCACGATGACCCACTGACTATTCAAGGATTCTTATCTGCAGTATGCATATGAAAAAATGCAAACAGCAAGTCAGATCTTACATTCTTTACTCAGATTAGTTGCTTGACAGAAGTGTGTACTGATCTTTGCATAATTTTGCTTACAAAAAAAAAAAAAAACAAGTTACATAAACCTTGGTCACTTTTGGGGGACATTTTCATTCTTTTCTTAAAGGGGCACCATTGTGTATTTTCCAGCCACATAGTGCTGTTTTACAGTAAAAATCAAGTAACTACATTTCCTACAGCTGTTATGAAAATACTTTATATGTCAAACATGTGATGCCTTGAAATTGGGCCACTGTCTCTTTAAGAAACTTTAGCTTTTCTGACGCTCATCACATCTCTCCTCCATTAACCCTTTATCAATGTTTCTACCAGCGTTTTACTGAGACGTAGCTCAGTTCTACCAGGTGTTTTCCAATTGCTGCTGATGATGATAGTTTGTAGGAGCTGACTGAAGGGTTTGTGTGGGAGAGCCTCTGGTGGAAGGTTGAAAACAGCAGCATCAAGGAGGCTAAATGGTTGCCAGAGATTAAAAAAAAAAAAATTCAAATATGCATTAAAAAAACACTACAGGTTTGTTTTTGATGAGAATAACATGAGATGTAAAACTCAAAATATTCAACTTTACATAATACTGCCCCTTTAATCATACTTAAAGGATGTACCTGCTCCTCAGAGACGCGAAGTCTGTCATTCCCAAGTATGCTTGTGAGGCAGGTGACATGAAGTTGCAGGAAGTCCGTCAACATGCTTGATTCTCTGAAGTGCCTGAGGAGAACCACTTCAGCTTTCGCCTTGAATCCCTCGCAATTGAAAGAGTCTGCCAAGGCCCACATGCCTGCAGGAACACACCTCTGAGTGAGCCCACTCACAGCAGCAGGCCTGTATTCGTGTGTCTTGTTCTTACCGAAGCAGTTTGTAATGTCAATCCTTTCTTGCAGGAACTTCTCGCACATCACTTTCACAGGCTCAATCATATACTGACTGGCTGTGTGCAGTAGCGACTGGACGTTTCTGTTGTTTAGCTCGATTCTAAAATCGAGAGAGAAACTTAAACTCATTCATAGAATTTAAAGTGTGACGCAACTATATGTCTGCCTGGTTTGTATTTACTTTGCTGTGTAAATGTAGTTGATGAGCAGCTCAACAATTTCAGGGTCCACTTCCTGTAGACTCACCTCAGGAGACTCAGACTCCATCATGTTCCCTGGAATGATGGCAGACAAGAAAATGCGACAGAAAAACAGATATGCAACATGGAGGGTCACTCCTCAAATCAATTACTTCGATCATTTCCAGTCTGTGAATTCCAGCATGGCACAACATAAAAGGATACCATAAGTAGATGCAATAAGTCTGAAACTTCCTCACTACCGAGTATTATACAGTAGTGAGAAATACTACAAGTGATAGTATTATAATATTAATGAGGAATACAATAAGAGATATTCTAAGAGTCAGCCATGCCCCCATCCGGACGGGAAGCTCTCTCTCTGTTTTGTTTTTTTTAAACACCTCAGAGTGGCCAGCTTTCTATTATTCTTCTCAATTTGATAAAGTAGAAACTCCCACACTTCCCATATCTGTGCCCTTTTTTCAGCCATTACAACCGTTTAATCCATTGTTATGTTGTATGGCATTTTTCTGCGCCACCTTTAGATTCTTCTTTCACTTTGGCTTCAATTTTTGATTCAATTCATCAGAATAGGATAAGCGTGGCGGTGATGTAGGGGTAAAGTGCGCAACTTATGGACGGTGGCTTCAATCCTTCGAGTTCGAACCTGTTCATTTCTGCCTCATGTCTTCCACCTCTCACAGATGTATCTATGAATAAAAGCCACTAGAGCTGAAAAAAAAATCTAATTAAATTAATTGTTAGTTTCAGCTCTAGATAGGAAGCTAGTCAAGTTCATGTGTGTGGAGGTAAACAAGTGAAAACTTTGGGCAATCTTGTGTAGCTTTGAAGCATAAGGTTGCAAACATCCTATAGTCCGCATGTCCTGCACTTACCCATGAACATAAGGCGAAAGTATTCACTACCAGCTGCCAAAACTAGTCGGTGGACAGGAAAGCGCCTCCCTTGAACCACCAGAGTAACATCACACAGCGCACCCTACAGGAAGAAGACAAATAAACATGTGCAAAGTTGACTTCATCCCAGCACCAGATGCATGCGTTAATCCTGACCAATTTTCTCATCTTATCCATGGTTGTGACCAGACCAGACAGCTGGTTGAGTGTGGCCTCATGGTGACAAGTGCTCACGGTCTTTCTGGAGGTCAACGCCTTCATTTTAGAGGCCATCTACAAGGTCGATTATCTTCTGACCTATAAAAACCAGCAACAAACGACCAGACAAATGCAAAATTTAAGCCATGCCAGTTATTGATAAATACAGATCTGTTCTGTCCACAGTAAGCTTAGAACATCAAAATATATCATCATGAAGGAAAAGTCTTTTCACTCTATAAAGCCAACTGCATAAATGTAATTTTGAAAATCAGTAGTAGTAATAATTAGACAATTTCTGAAGCAATTAACTTGAACCCAGCTTTGTTCTGATGCTGAAAATCAGAAACAATGCTAAACTGAAATAAAAAGCAGTCAAGAACATGTGGAGTATAATTATTATATTGAGTAATATGGACTAACTCCGGGCTGCACAGTGGCGCAGTTGGTAGAGCTGTTGCCGTGCAGCAAGAAGGTTCTGGGTTCGATTCCCGGCCCCGGTCTTTCTGCATGGAGTTTGCATGTTCTCCCTGTGCATGCATGGGTTTTCTCCGGGTCCTCCGGTTTCCTCCCACAGTCCAAAAAACATGACTGTTAGGTTAATTGGTCTGTATAAAATTGCGCCTAGGTGTGAGTGTGTGTGCGCGCATGGTTGTGTGTCTCTGTGTTGCCCTGCGACAGACTGGCGACCTGTCCAGGGTGTACCCCGCCTCTCGCCCGGAACGTTAGCTGGAGATAGGCACCAGCACCTCCCGACCCCACTGAGGGACAAGGGTGTTCAGAAAATGGATGGATGGATGGACTAACTCCATTCAGTAAGCAAACATTAGTGTATAAGGTAAAATTAACCAAAATGCTATAGTTAGCTTTAATGCTGTCAGGAGCATGTGAGGCATTACCAGCAGGTTGACTTGCATTCACTTTCTCCATTCATTATGATAAACATAGAAGAAAGATGAGCTAAAATGTTTATTTTAGGTAAGCCTAATGTTAGCATGAGGGCTATAGCTAGCATGTAGAGTGACACCATCAGTAGGATGTGGGTTAACACCAACAGGTTGACAAACACTGATATACTCCATTAAGATGCAGGTTAAAAAGGAATCCATCAGAAATTGTTATAGCGCCCCAATTTGTTGTTTAATTTCTATAAAATATGGCTTAAATTAAAGGTGAAAATTGCTGATGGCTTTTAAAACATGAAAAGCATATTCTCCATGCGTGCAAATCTATAAAAAGGTTGGTTTCTGTTAGCAAGTAATTTAAAATGTGTGATGGAGAATCAGAAGATGATGATTAAATATACATAAAAGAAAAGGCAAAAACCTTTTGGGCTGTATCACAAAACAGAAAATCTGAGAACAATGGTATAGAGATGCATCAAAAAACCAGATCTGTGACCAGAATAAGATGATTTTCAGCTGGTCAGTCAAATACTCACAAACTTTGAGTATTTGACTCAAAGTTTTCGAATTTCTCTTTTATGGACAATTATTTTTACATAATTGCCGCTGTAGGAGCCACAGTTTCTTCAGATAGAAATGGTCAAATTGTTTGTTGGACCTTACCTGATTATCCAGGTGTGGATAAAAAAAAAAAGCACCGGATGTTGACGCCCCTTTTGTAGCAAAGACGCTTGCAGCTCGACTTACCGTAAACACCCGAAGAGATGCGCAGCCGTTTGCGGTTGATTTATCCAGGCTTCAGAGGGAATTGTCTCTGGCAGGTCTCACTTGATTGCAATGGCACTTCTGGACTGAACAACACTACTCACCGGTAAATTCTTAACCCGACAGTCCGTGGGTTTCATGTTCGTTTTTAATCCCAGCTGTCCGTCTTTCAGAGTGTTAGCCAGGCAATGCTATCATCCTGGTAGCCGAGGTTACCCTCAGTGTGTTTGGCGTTGCTAGGCCGGTGTTGTGCTCCCTCTCCCCGGGTTGTATCTCACCTAAGCTAGCGTTAGCTGAGCTGCTACACCGACCGCTTGTTTTTGGCGTTAATTTTACGTGTAATAACTGTTTTGTGAGAAGAGGCTGACTAACAAACTGCTCCCGGTGGCTGTCATTCATTGCTGCTTCGGTTAGTTCACTTAATTCAGTTAGATAATTTAGGGTTGTGGCTTCGGACGACATTAACCGCTAGTACTACTTACTACTGAGGTAATAAATGTATGAATAGCTTAGTTCAAACCCTGTTATTCTAGTGGATGCTGTGGGTTTACTAATCAGTTTGTAAACGTCTTCTTAGATGTAGCCTTGTTAACCATTCTTAACATGTTTATTGAAAAAATGCCAAAATATTTTATTTGTCTTTATCAGTTTATTCACTGGCATTTTGAATGTCTTTCATATCAGTCTCATTGCTGACATTTTCAGAGGAATGTTTCTTTCGTTATTAAGTAACTCAGTTTTGACCTATGAATCATTCAGGCATACATAGGATGTGAAACTCGAGGGATGAACCCAGTTGTGTTCACACAATACAGTTAGTTATACAATACAATGTAGATACAACACTTATCTACATTGTTACAAGCAGCCTGTCAGACAATTTATCATAGAGGCACTGATCAGGCCTCTCCTGGCCGATATTGATTTCCATTTTTCATTCAGGTCCAAACCTTCGATTCCATTTTGTTTTGTTTTCCCAAGTACTATCACATGTAAAACAGAATGACATGCAGCATGATCCTTGATATAGGTATAGGTATATAGGTATATAGGTATAGGTATAACCCAGCAGAATACAAAGGAATTAACCGGCCATAAATTTTGGGCCTCTCCTTCTTGCACAGTTGTCTTGATTCAGCCACATGGTTGAATCAAGACATTGGATCAGGAAATGGATCATTTTCTTCATCTGTGATCAGGATATTGATCATTCATCAGTGTCCTAATGTAACTCTAGTGTGCTTTATCTTACTGTGGATGTACATTCTGCTTCAGCTGTTACTGGTAGAGAGCAGAATTTCTGGTCCCATAAATTATGGTCCTGAACCAGCAAAGCAGCCCCAGGCTCCCCAACTACTACCACTAATGTTTAATTGTAGGCGTGATCTTTTTTTATGAAGTGCTGAGTTAGTTTTACACCGAGCAGCGGCGCACCGATTGGGTCATTGATCACCAATCTTTAAAACGCCTCACCTGCCGATTCCAATTTTGGCCAAGATGTTGCTGAATTGGCGTACGGTGGGGCGACTATTGTTAACCACGAATGTGCAGACATGACCTAGTGGTTGGGTCTGTCAGTCAAAGTTGTTGATTTTAGACCTTTGCATAGTCAGATTAGATCAGTGGAAAAAATCGGCTTCACATATAACCGTCAGTCAAACACCAATCTCACAAAATTAAGGAAATTGGGGCCGGTTTATTGGTGCACCAAATATTATGGCTTTTAAAAGAAGTTCTAGCCAGGACTTGTTAGTCGACAGAATATTTTATCTTGGGGATCATTAAGATGGATTTTTTTTTTTTTTTTTTTTTCCAAAAAGGGGGGCAGCCTTTGTTATTTTTTTTGGTCATGGTGGTTTGGGGCTTGGAGCTTTTTTGTGGGTGTCATGGACATTTACTAATGCACCAGATTCTAAAATGATGATGTTCTGTATCTTCTCTATGTGTGGCTAGGAGCTCTAATTCAGGATAGCTGCAGCGTACAAAATGACTTTTGTAGCCCTTTGTTTAAGGCCAGGAAAGAGGCTTACACAAGTTGACTTCTTAAATATTAACAAAAATAGCACACGCTTCTTCTCAAAATAGTCAGGCACTGTACTATTCTGAAAATGAGGAGAAAACAACCAAAGTTCTAAGAAATCTTTACGAAAACGGTGAGTGTTGCTGAGACAAATGACTCCCTGTGTCTGCCCCAGATTCTCTATATGCCGCCGTCTTTTTCGGTGAAGCCTTTCTGAAGCTGCGAGGAGGACACGACGTGCCAAGAGGTGAGGACCGACCACTGCTTCCCAACATGTCCAAGACCAAGAGCTCCGAGACCATCAAGGTGGTGGTCCGCTGTCGCCCCATGAATGACAAAGAGAAGGCGTCTAAGTTTGAACAAATGGTTTCCGTTAATGTCAAACTGGGTCAGATTATGGTCAGGAACCCGCGGGAAGCCAGCGAACACCCCAAAGTCTTTACTTTTGATTCAGTTTATGACTGTAACTCGAAACAAATAGATCTGTATGACGAAACCTTCCGGCCTCTTGTCGATTCTGTTCTCCTTGGCTTCAATGGGACCATTTTTGCTTACGGCCAAACGGGGACGGGAAAGACGTACACAATGGAGGGAGTGAGAAATGATCCAGAGAGGAGAGGGGTGATCCCCAACTCCTTTGAGCACATCTTCACGCACATTTCACGCTCCCAGAACCAGCAGTACCTCGTGAGAGCGTCATATCTGGAAATTTACCAAGAGGAGATCCGGGACCTGCTCTCCAAAGACCAATCCCACCGCCTGGAGCTCCGGGAGCGGCCCGACACGGGCGTGTACGTGAAGGACCTTTCGTCGTTTGTCACCAAGAGCGCGCGGGAGATCGAACACGTGATGAATGTGGGCAACCAGAACCGTTCGGTTGGTGCCACGAACATGAACGAGCACAGCTCGCGCTCTCATGCGATCTTTGTCATCACGGTGGAGTGCAGCGAGTTGGGCGTGGATGGAGAGAACCACATCAGAGTGGGCAAGCTGAACCTGGTGGATTTGGCTGGAAGCGAAAGGCAGACAAAGACCGGTGCTCAAGGCGAGAGACTGAAAGAAGCCACCAAGATAAACCTGTCGCTTTCCGCCCTGGGAAACGTCATATCGGCTCTGGTGGATGGCAGGAGCAGCCACATCCCCTACCGAGATTCCAAACTCACTCGCCTGCTGCAGGACTCCCTGGGGGGAAATGCCCGCACTGTGATGGTCGCCAACATCGGCCCGGCGTCCTACAACGTCGAAGAGACCCTGACCACGCTGCGCTACGCCAACCGGGCCAAGAACATCAAGAATAAGCCGCACATCAACGAGGACCCCAAGGACGCCCTGCTCAGGGAGTTCCAGGAGGAAATCGCCCGGCTGAAGGAGCAGCTGGAGAAACGTGTGGGGAAGAAGAAAAAAAGGAGGCAGAAGAGGAGGGGAGGGGAAGGAAGCGACGGAGAAGACCTGGAGGATGGAGAGACGGAGGATGACGAAGAAGAAGGAAGCGGCGACTACTGGAGAGAGCAGCAGGAAAAGCTGGAGCGGGAGAAGAAGGCTGTCCTGGACGACCACAGTCTGGTGGCCGAGGAGAAGGATCGGCTGCTCAGGGAAAAGGAGAGGAAAATGGAAGACTTGAAGAAAGAAAGAGAAGTCGGTGAAATGCTTGCAGCAAAAGTTAAGGTAAGCAAAAAAGAAAAAAAAAACTTCTATCTAGAGGTTTTGTTCTCACCGGCACGTTGTATTTTCCAATTTGATTTTGATTCTTTTAAACTTTGTGTATCACTCAGGCGATGGAGAGCAAGCTTCTTGTAGGTGGAAAAAATATTGTTGATCACACCAATGAGCAGCAGAGGATGCTGGAGCTGAGAAGGCAGGAGATTGCTGAACAGGTGAACTCAGAGTCCAAACAAAGTCTGCTAACTAAACGGGAGTTTTTACAGGAATGATGGAGGAACACTGGCACATTTCAGACCAACCGTGTTTCTACATGTTTTGAATTATTCCATGATTTATGGTGGTTGCTTTTCTGACCTAAAACATTTGAAAACCATAATGAGGAAGAGTTAGAGAGAAACAAAATAAAAACATGCTCACACAGTTTGCTATTCATCTGTAGGAGCTGGTTAGTAAAATTCAAATTGGAGCATCTGTCTCAGGAACAGTACCCAAGTTCTTTATGATAAAAACAAGAAAATAACGATTAAAACAGAGCAACTTAGAGACAGAGTATGAAGTGCTTTAGAGTCCTCTGGACTTGATGCATGTTGTGGTAGATCTGCCTGATGCTTGACCACACCGGATTGTCTTCTGAGGCCATGTCAGGAAGCTGCAGCTTTCAATGTTTGCTTCCAGAAACGGAGAGAGAGAGAGATGCAGCAGCAGATGGAGAGTCGTGATGAAGAGACTCTGGAGCTGAAGGAGACCTACAGCTCCCTGCAGCAGGAGGTCGACATCAAGACCAAGAAGCTGAAAAAGGTGATGGCTGATTTTTTTAAATTTATTTATTTATTTATTTTAATTCTTGGACAGACCAAACTTGCTATGTAGTGTTAAAATAAATCAGCATAACATTAAAAAAAAATCTGTTTTATGATAAATCAGGATTGCAGATTTACTGACTTGTTTCTTCCAAGTAATGATTCATGTGCAGAATATGCTACTGGCTGTTAAATTCAGTACTGAGATCTTTTTGTGCTTTTCGGTCAAACTAACCTTTTTTCCTCGATCTTGTGTCCTGCAGCTGTTTTCCAAGCTGCAGGCGGTGAAGGCAGAAATTCAGGACATCCAGGAGGAGCACATCAAGGAGCGGCAGGAACACGAACAGACCCAGAACGAGCTCACCAGAGAACTCAAACTCAAGTACAGAACACATTTCCACCCTCAGTTCACGTCTACAGCTTCATTTTAGGTTTTTAAGATGCTTTATAAGGGAGCTTTATTTTTGCCATGAATGATTTCATAATACACAACAGTAATTATTTCTAAAAATTAAAATGTGGATTTTTTTTTGTTTGTTTGTTTACATATAGTTCAACCTCAACTTTTTTTCTACAAGAAGTCTGAATGTTTGTCTTTCAGACATCTGATCATTGAAAACTTCATTCCTTTGGAGGAGAAGAACAAAATCCTCAACAGGGCTTTCTTTGACGATGAGGAAGAGTGCTGGAAGATGAAGGCCATCACTCGCATTGAGGAGTAAGCTCAAAAACATTCTGAAGTTTGGTTCAATCCTTCATACACTTAGGGAAATCTCAATTTGACTAAAAACACCTTTAATTTATACATTTCTTATTTGCACGTCTAAAGCAATGAGCTGCTTTTCCGGTACAAATGTGAGCTTTTAAATTAGTTTGAACAGATGACCTTTGACCTTCATGTATCTGGGGATGGTTCCCAAGGATGAACCAGACTTGTAGAGCTCCATAATTCTCATGCTGATATCTTAGCTAATTTCTCAAGTTAGTTATGTATTCTGTGTGCTGCCTTAAGACGCATCCATTTAGAAAGAAAGTTTGTCTCCTGTTATGCATTGTCTGCATCTGGTTTTAACTGACCACGTAAAAGTGGAGCTGTGCTGCAGTGTGACCTGTTGTGTTCTCCGTCTTCCTGCTCCAGCGACCATCAGATGATGTCCCGGCCCCCGTCTGCTGTGGGCTACAGGAGGCCCCTCAGTCACCATGCCCACATCGCCATGAGGATGAAGCCTGACATGAGATACAAAGTGAGCTGCTTTTCTCTTTGTTTCAGAACAAACATCAGAGTGGAGAACAATAATGATTGTCTTTTCAATCAGAAGTGGAGTCGTTGGTGTGAAAGTCCAGGTCAGGTCTTTTATGGTTTCATCATGTTGAGTCTAAAGTTATTACATTTCGTTACGAGTTTGACTCCACTCTGTAAACTTGACTGCATTGTTTGGTAACTGGGATCAAACTGGAATGGATTGAAAAATGTCAGGGTTAGACATGAATGCAGTTACTAAAATGAATGGAAGTCAATACAAAGTCCTTTTATGGGTACCAATGCAAATGTGTGTGTGTGTGTACTTGTATATGCTGCACATAAAGGACCACTTTCATCATTTCACCAACAAGGTCCTCACTTTTTTCAGGTCTACTGCACTCTACTACTAGTTACGGTTAAAGGTATGGTTTTGGTTAGGGTTAGGAATAGACTAGTAATGGTTAGATTTGGGCTCAGGGTTAGAGAAACGAATGGAAGTCGGTGTAAACTCTTTGTGAAGATAGAACAACGTGTGTGTGTGTGTGTGTGTGTGTGTGTTGTGGGTTCTGTCAGGCTGAAAATATCCTGTTGCTGGACATGGACCTGCCTTCTCGGACCACTAAGGAGTACCAGGAGCCAGTCATCGCTCCAAAGGTGGCAGCAGCCCTGGAGGACGCTCTAAGAGATGAGGATGAGATCCAAGTAGACGCTTCAGGCTTCCACAGCAGCTTGGGACCAACACCGCCTGCCAGTGCCAGCAGCAGCCTTAAGAAACCAAAGTCTGGGTAAGAAATCCCTCTGCCACATTCAGCTGTTTGGAAGGAGAGTTATTTGTTGTGTAGCAGTCGTCTTCCACTGCTTCCTGTCTTTCAGTCGACCCAGAACAAGCAAGAAGTCGAGCACACTGACCTCTCCGTTCAGCCCTTGCAGTCCAGCATCTCCTCTCTACCCACAATCCCGTGGCCTGGTGCCCAAGTGACGCCTTCTTCCATTGCCGTCACCAACCTCTTTGTGCACCTCCCCACTTTAAGACTCTTAGAGGATTGGGTTTGTTTGGTCAGGAGCCAAAGGAACCTTTAAGACCACCCCTGCTTTAGTTTCAGCTGTCGCCACATCACTGCTAACAGCTGCCATGCATGAAGCCCCAAATCACGTTCCACTGAGACTGCCTCTGCCACCTCTGACTCTTTGTCTTAAACATCACTAAGTTCTTAATATGACGATTGCCTGCAGGGTTTAGTCCGTGTCTGCCTATTTCTCTCTTTACATTAACTTGTCACATCGTGGTAAACTTTTTATTTGTTTGATTGTATCTGACGGTGAGAGAGTAGAAGACACAACCGTTGCTGTAATCAATAAATGCTGTTCTTCCTGCGGCCCGGCAGAAGGAGGCAGGAAAGGATAGAAGCATCCCAGCGGGTGGCTAACCCACCACTAAAGACACATCAGGGTTCCAAGGTGCCTTAAACCTGCAATCCTCAACGTCCTCATTTAAATCCTGCAGGCATGTTGTCTCCTTCATTTACTCATTCATTTACTACATCATGGGGATGGGCAGTGGGGAGGGGAAGCACTGCTTGGATGGAGGTGTTTAGAATCCAGCCTTCTCTTTGGGTTGCTTGGTAGACGAAGAGCAACACAGTCATGGTTAATGAAAGTTCACCCTTTTTCAAATGGAAAGTCCTGTGTAACAGAACATGATTAGGAAATTAGTTCCTAAAAGCTCTTAAAATGAAGTAAATAGACCAACAGGTCTCAAAAGATTCTACCTTCAGGTAAATCGCATTAAGGTCTGGACTTTGATGCTCATGACCGACTTTGGGCACTGCCCTAGATAGACTGGCATGTATGAAGTGAAAGGAACAAAGTAAACTAAGAAGTGGTTTGTGTCTGAGCATTAGAACATCCTGTTGGAGTCGGGGTTGGTGTACTGAGGAGTTCATGGCGTACTTATCAGCCTCCTCTACCATGTTTGACGATTGCTGCAACCCTTCTCCCCCCCGTCATCTAACAGAGACAGGTTCACATTTTCAGAGCTTCCATATATAAACAGCTTGAAAGGGGGTGAACTTTAACCTTTCCATGACCATGTATTCACTCTGTGAGTTCTTTATACCTCATCTGTCTGTCTTTTGAATGAGATCCCAGCAGCTTCCCACCACAGCCGGACTAAATGTAGACTTGCCACAGAAATCGGTCGAAACACTTGAACTTGCAGGATGCTCGATCTTTCTGCCTCTCTGCTACTTTGTTACTGTGATGCGTGCGCTGTTTACTTGCTGCTACTGTGGAAGGGTCTCCAACCCACTGTGATGTTTAAACAAGCCTGGGTCAACTTGCAAACCGCATCCCCTCACATCGACGTTTTCCTCCCGATGGTTTCTCCCAGTAGCTGGAACCTTTCTTGCTGTTTGACCCATGCCTGCTATTCATTTAGATATTGAACATTATAGACTTGTTGCTAGGCAATCTTTAGTCACTTTTGAACATATAAAGAAGAAAAAAAAATAGGTTACCATATTAAAAGAAAAAGTACTTATAACTTATTGAAATCGTTCCTTTTTTTATATGCAGATGTAGATTTAATTTTTATATGTTTTTTTTCTGTGAAATACTTTTATTTTTTTGAGCTCTGTAATTTAAGGTTAAAAGATTTATTTTTAGCGTCTTACATGCAGTATGTGTATTTTCTATTCACTGTGGCTGCTTTTGTGTGTGTGTGTGTGTGTGCTTGATCAGATCGTTTTCCCACACGGTTGAGATTAAAGTGTGTAAGTGCAGAAAAATGCTGGATTCGTGTCACAACCCAGAATTTACTGCTTACAGCTGTTGAGTCAATTTCCCAAATGCATATCCTTTCAGATCGAAACCGATTGATGTAACTAACACTGCAGCTCCGTAGACGTGTTGCATGATCTTAGCATGCTTGAGTAACACATTTAGCTTTGCTATTATTTATCAATCACAGGAATCTGGCAAGCCCAGTGTTATTGTCTTTATTTATTGTTCAGTGATTTGTTTAACTGAACAAGCCGCAGCACTGGATCAGAAACTTTACACTTGTGTGACCAACTTTTATGCGCTGTTGTTACTTTCAAGCCAAATGTCTTTTTTTGTCGTTCAGTATCTTTACATTATTAAAGAAATTTTAGGGAAATACATGCGGGTGTGTCTTTATTTAAAAGAAGTCTAGGAAGATGCTACTTTGTTGTTTTTCAGCAGAAGTTTCTGTTAGTGGTGCAACAATTGCTGTTTTCTGGCTAATCATCCATCTTTAAAAAGTCTGACCTGCCAATTAAAATTTTGAGCAATACAGATCTTTTTTATTATTATTATTTTATTTTTTTACCTGGTCTGATTCTAATTTAAAGTATGTTTTCTTTAGCTATAAGTGGAAAATCATAATTAACCAAAATAAAGGCTTTCAAACATTAATCTGTGTATTTCATCTATAAAATGTGTTCAAAGTCAAAAATACTTTATTGATCCTAAAGGGAAATTAAATGCCGAATGCCATATTGTAACTCGACTCAAATTTTTCAAAAAAAGTATCATTTAGTGATAAAGTTTCTAATGTAAATGGGCTTCTTCAACCCAAAGACAGTTTTATGCCGGATATTGTCCAAATTTGCACATTTGACATAAATATAGAACCCTAAAGAACATATTTATACAATTTACCTGCAAAAAAATAATTTGGGGTTTTAGTTAAGATTATACATAATACAAGGAAGCCTTAGTCTATACATAAAATATATTTTTACTCTCTTTTAACCCTTTAAAATCTGTTCACCGGCCTAATGACACTTAATTCAATGAAATAAGAAGTTGTTACATCTTTAGAATCCACTTTATTACCAACACTTCCAAATTAAAGTCACCCTGGTCTGAAATTATTTTTCTTAAAAAGTGGAACATAATATTCATATACATTCAGCAGAGGAGCACAAATGTACAAAAGCCAAAGTGTATGACAAACAAATGACCTACATACAGTACTGGAAGGTAGATCCAGCAGGCTGAGAAGTAAGCCAGAGAGGGGATGTAATCATTTCAGGGTTTTTTTTTATTTTTTGTCTAAAATTCAGACTGATTCTTACCATCACAGCTATAATTTACCTATTTACTGAAAGTCTTGTTATGTTAAACACAGTCAATTTTCTGTTTACGTCACAGTTTCTGTTTCACAACCAGAAGAAAATCAGAGCTGCTGAGCAGTTCTTAATTTTACTTTTTGCCATTTTCATCCTCTTTCTGATTGACGTGTTCCTTGTTTGCCGTTTTATCTGGAGATTTGCCTGTGCGGCGTCCATTTGGCACAGGTCAAAGGTTAGAGACTGGAGGAAAAAGCAACAAAAAGACAAAAAAAAGGGGGACAAAGGAGTAATGCCCCATAAGACTAGAATCTAGAGTCCAAAAAAGTGACAGGAGATACTTTTTTATTGAAGTATCTTTGTGGGATTAACAACACAAGACACTTTTTAAAATGTCCACATCACTTCAAGTCTTGAAAAATAAAGAAAAATAAAATAAAATCAATTTATTGCATAAAAAATTATGAGTACACAATAGGAGAAAACTTGCATGTTGAAGATTATTTGTGTATTTTTTTATCATGCTGGTTCATTGACGTAAAAAGGAACATTAGTATGAATTTTTATGGTCCTTCCATTTTGGTTAAGAGAGTCCAAAGGGATCCAGACGGACTTGAGACGACTCTTTGGATACAAACGTAAGGATTCTAGCTCCAGATTGGACCCAAAGAATAAAACATATGCATAGAAAAAAACCCCCGGAAAATTCAAGCTTCTATCAAGTCTACGTCTCTGCACAAAAGGTTTTGAAGTCCTAACAAACAGTTGGTCTCAGAAAGCAGAAAATTTAAAGGGCATTTTGGGTTTTATTTCAACCGGGCTTGTCCCGAGAATTTCCATGACAGACGGGGAGAAACCAAAGGTGTCAAAGTTTCATGTTTTTCTCAGAAGATATATTTCTAATGGGCCTACTGACATTAATTTCTCATAGATGTTGGTGTCCATGTGTTCAGTAATCAACACAAATTAAGTTATGTGTAATATAAAGTGAAATGGCAGAGAATGAATGTTGAACCATTTAAAAAAAAAAACAACAGCAAATACATACACACTCACTGCACAAGACTCCACTGGTGAAGAAAAAGCAGACGGAAGCTCACTTAAAGTCTGCTGCAGAACATTTAGACTTTTGAATGACTATTTAACTCATTTTAGTGAGTTTGCCTAATAATTCATTACACTTCATAACTCATCACTTTTGTTTGTTTGCTGAGTAAATTATTTTTTTTTTGGCGGGGGGTGAGGTGGGGGGGGCATGTGGGCTCCCTGGGTTGTCACAGAGATCAGGTGTAAATTTCATATAATTAAAAATATATTCACTGTGAAAAGCATTGATATTATCCCCTGCTGAATCAACGAGAAATCTGCTGGGTTGAAATAAACTGGATCCATCGTCCAGGCTGAGTTGGACTGAGATGCATCAGTGGAAACAACCAAACCCGCCATCACCTGCTGCAGCTGGAGGGATCTTGACACCAGCTCTGCTTCTTCTTCTCACACCCGTGGACCCAGTCAGTAGAACCCAGCGCCTCACCGTGGAGCCTCCTCTCCTCTGCGGCGTAAGGCCGCTCCGTTCCCGGTTGAAGCTAAACTGTTTTGGTCCCTGCTCCCCGAAAAGTCTTCTGCTTGGTTATTAAACTGCTTGGAGCTCATCTGTAAACTGTCTTCATCGGCGGGAGTCCGTTCAAAGCTCGCAGCGCTGTCCTGCCGCACAGGAAACGGAAACGGGAATCTTCCCAGTCTCAGGGAACGGAACGGAGAGAAACGAGGATGATGATGGAGAGGATGGCGGCCGTCGGGCCGGTCTTGTTAGGGGGTTGTTAGGTTGGAACGGAGGCTCGGGCGCCTGCTGGAGAAGCTCCAGGCTGCGGTTGGAAGCGGAGCGGCGCCGGCTGCGGCTCATTTCTCCCGGTAGTACAGCAGGTACATTTTGAGCGGCTCGGGCAGCGGCAGCCCCAGGATCCTCTCTCTCAGGACGTTGACGGCCGGCTGGGGTCGCAGCAGTTCGCCCGTTTCCTTCTCCTCCTCCTCCTCTTCGTCCCGTTCCTCTGCCTCCTCCTCTTCCTCCACCGTCTCCTCCTCCTCCACCAGCCTCCCCCTACCCGCTCTCCTGCTGCCCCTCGCTGGCCGCCTGCCCTGCCGCTCTCCGACTGCCTCCTCGTCCTCCACTCGGCCCTCTTGGTTGTTGTTGTTGTCCAGGGAGGCGGGGGCCATCCCGCCACCGGCCACCACCTGGCGGGTGGCGAGCATGAGGGTGTTGCAGTGGCGCCGGTGGACGCGACGGCGCTTAAAGCGCGGGCCGTACTTGTGGAGGCCGGCCGCCGCCAGGCCCCGGCCCACACTGAAGGAGGAGCCCCGGCCCCGCGCCTGACCGTCCCCTCCGTCTGTGGTCACCCGCAGGGTGTGGCGGATGCAGATGCGGGCCAGTTCCTGTAATGTCCGCACCTCGTACTTGGCTGGAAGGTTAGGAAACAACAACAACAAAAAAAAAAAAACAGCGGTGAACAAATCAATAAACTGTAAAGAGTTCTGTCCAGAACTTTTTCCTGTTGGTTCTAAAGTCTGTTTTTGATTGAAGCATCGATGGCCGTCTCTCTTTTCCCTTTCTCTCTTTCTGCAGGTATAGATGCAGACTTCTAGGGTGTTGTCCTTCTTTCTCTCCTCTCCTCTCCTCTCCTCTCCCTTCCTCCTTTTCTTTTCCATCTCCGTATCTATTGCATTTGAAACAATGCAACGGACAGGCATGCACTGTGGGAGGCATTACAGGCTGATTTATAGCCTTTAGCTGATAAAATGATTCCTAGTTTTATGTGTGAGGATTTGATGAGTTTGAGATGGTGCGTCATGTTAGTGTGTGCTATTATTCTGGGAATGTTAACAAACAGCACTACATTCTCTGAAAACCTGAAGTGAGACTTACGCAAAGGTGCCATCTTGGGTTTGCTCTTGGGGCTGTGTTTAGGCAGAACCAGAGGAGCAAAAGACACAGAGATGATTTTCTTCGTCTCCCAGCTGCTCAGTCCGGTGCGGACAATCTTGGTCAGCTGCGGAAATGCAACAGAGTGAGGTCATTCGTCCTCTTTTCTTCTTCATCGGATTCGTTTTCACCCTCATGCTTGCAGTTAAGGTCAACATTTTTAGCCCGGAGTTCAGCTGGAGTTATAACTTAATTACAAACAGGTGGGCTCTATTTACTAGATGCCTTCTGAGGCAACTAGTTCAACTAAATTGTATTTAGAGGCATCAGAGTAAAGGAGACTGAGAATCAACGCATGTCCCACTTACTGGGTTATTTGTTAAAAAAAAAAAAAAAGTAGGAAAATATTAATCTTTTTACTTTCTGCTTCACCGGTGATGTCACATGTTGGTTTATTACACAAACTCCTAATGAAAAGCATTGAGATTAGGGGCTACAAATTGACAAAAGGTGAATATTTTGTTTTTGAGTTGTAATATTACAGATTAAGAATGAAAATGTGACTTCCCAAGTCACAAGTCACTAGTTAAAAAAAGTGCAACTTTAACTTGCTAGATAATAATAATAAAAAAAAAAAACAAAGAAGACAGAAACAGAAAGTGCCATGGAGACGATGATGCTGAGGACTGACCTTCTCCTCCAGAGGCATCACCAGGATGCCCCCCACCTTCAGCAGGTTCTTCATGTACTCCTCGTGTTCCTTCTGCACCCCGGCGCCACAGTAGACCCTGTCGTAGTGGCGGCTCTCGGGGGGGATCTCCAGGCAATTACCCACCACAAAGGATGGCTCACAGAACTCAAACCTGAGAAAAAAATGAACAAAAAGAAGTAGAAGTCTATTCATTTCTGAAAAAAACAAAAAACAAAAAAAAAACCAGATCATCGACGGAACAAGCACATCTACAACTAGATACCGGAGAAAGGACAAGAATCAAAATGCTGCAAAGACCTGATCAAGACTCAGACCTCAACCTCACTGAGAGGAAATGCTTTAGGAAGAGAGCTTACATAAAGATTACTGAGGCAAAATTCCTCCATGCTACATACCAAAAAATGTAATATAAATCATCTTTATTTTCTTTTATTTG